ACAGTGCTTAGTAGATATGGGAGAAGCAGTAAGCGGAGCATTTTCTGAAACTTTAATCCGGGAGGTCTCACGGGACTGGAGAGTAACCGTTCCTCCAGACAAAAGCCTTCTGAAAACCAACAAAGGGCAGCATTTTCTGTCCTCTGTATTCAGAAAGGAGAGAGAAGCACAGTGTACGTGTTTCTGAAGTTGGGTTCAGCTGTCACAATTGTTCTTCAGAACACAGTGATCGTCACACACAAGCCCAGACAAATCCAGGTAATTTGCCATCTTTCATTACAAAATCTCATTAGCAACTCTAACACTCTCCCGGTCCAGCAGCAGGGGGCAGGAGGGTGTGAAAAACCGGTTTGCAAAGGGAAACCTGTTTCATTCATCTTCCATAGCTTTAAACTAACACCCCTCATATTCATATTCTGCACTTGTAAGGGGGGAGGGGGGGGGTGAGTCCCAAACCATTTGGATCCAACTTCTTTGGCTGGATCTAATCACTGCAGTAGGTCACACCTAACAGCTGATTCCCAATTCACCCAAGTTTTGCTAGACTACAGTTTAGGCTCATGACATCTTTAATCTCAAAAATTTTCAGATTAAGTCCAATATTATTAGCAACTATCTCTGTGGCTATAGCACCTAGATGCCTCAGCCAGGAGAGATTCAATGTGCCGTGCATTACATGGCCCTATAATAAAATGCTAGGATGGAAAGCAACCAGTGGCTGGAACACAGCACAATAGTGCAGCAGGGGTGTGATTTTGGGCCAGATTTCCCCCGCCCCCTCACAAAGCAGTTATGGGATCCTTAGTGTCCAAGCTGAGCAGAGCAAACTGGACCTGCCTGAGATGTCCTACGGGTTAGGGCACTAGCTGGGAACCGAAAGCTAGAGTAAAAAGTTAGGAAAAGTTTGCAAGGCAAAAATCACACATGATCAAGAAAATTCTATCTATCCCAAATATGATGGAGTTACAGGGATTTCAGCACCATAGAGTTTTGCACCCAGAGGCTGTACCAGCATGCTGGCCTGTTGGGGAAAAGTGGCAATTAACACCTCATTAAAATTTCATACCTCAGCTCTCCTGTCTCTTCTTGTCTCCCCTCCCTTCCTCTCCACCCCCCCTGCCCCCCTCCACTGGGTTCACCTCAGCAAAAGGGCTGGAAGCAGCCTGATTCAGTCCATCTGCAATGCTGTGGAGCTGTAATCAATAGCTGGAGTGGTGAACCTCTGTACACAGCCATCCTGCCTCCCCCACAGACAGCTATTGTTCAACCCTCCGGTAAGGCTGTCCATCTGTTTTATTGTTTTGCCCATGTGAGATGCCTCCTACAGGAACCCATATGCTGCTGCTGTCAATCAGGGAATCCACGCAGATCAAGGGGTCAGGGGAACACAGGTTTGGGCGGGGGAGGGAGGGTGTCACAGTTCATGCTATTGTACAGTGTTTCATCACTAACCATGAGCAATTCCATCCATTCGTTTCGTATCCCTTCCCAGTTCCAAAGGATTTGTGCAGGCACAAGTCAGATGATGATGTGCTTAGTTTGCTGGACTGGCAAGAGCTGGGATTCACGAAAGCAAAGAGCCATCAAGAGACCCCCAGTTTGCCTTGCGCCTCAAAGTCAGAGAAGCTTTGATGATGGAGGACACACCACCCTTTCCTTCCTGCCTGAGAAGATGGAAGAGTTCTAGAAACACCGGCTAATATTGCCATGCAGCCCTCCCTTGTGATGGGTGCAGTGGCCATCATTAAAAAGGCAATCATTTGCATGCCGAGGTATGCTAGATACAACAGTTTCTTCCGGTATTTGGAATATGACCTAAGTCTTATGGTAAAGTACCATCAGGAGAACTGGATATGGAATATTACTGTAAAAATAAACCAGAACAGAAAATTACTCTATCTTCTTTTTAAAAAATTCTAGAGAGCTAAAATCCTTCTACAGAGTTCTAGGGAAAAAGTTACTTTCTAATACATTTTGTGGAATATTTTCCTAAGTATTTCTTCACACAACACACAGTCAACCTATGGAACTCCTTGCTAGAAGACATTGTGAAGACCAGGGCTTTAACAGGGTTTTAAAACAAACAAACAAACAAACAAAAAAACCCAACAACGATGAACTAGATAAGTTCCTGGAGGGTAGGTCCATCAATGGCTATTAGCCAGGATGGGGGGGGATGGTGTCCCTAGCCTCTTTGTCAGAAGCTGGGAAGGGTGGCAGGGGAGGGATCATGTGATGATTCCCTGTTCTGTTCACTCCCTCTGGGCATGTGGCACTGGCCACTGTCGGCAGACAGGATACAGTTAGATGGACCTTTGGTCTGACCCAGCATGGCCACTCTTAAGTTATGTAGGTGATAGAATTCTGTGGGCTTTTAAAATGGCGATCGCCCTAAGTACCATGAGGAGCTCAAAGTGAGGAAACTGAGGCACTGATGGGTTTGGTGACTTGCCCAGGGTCACCAAAGATGTCAGTACCCAAGACGTCAGTGCCCAGATTCCATTTCAACTCTCTAGCCTGTGCTTTGGCTACTATGATCAATCTTTTCTAATGAGTCCCAACCTTCCATCAGCCAATTCTTTTTTTCCCTATAAAGCATGATCCCGTAACTAAAAGACTGCTGATTTAGCACAACGTGCTGAGCATTTTCACCCCCCAGCAAAGTTAATGAGAGCACATTAGGATTCTTAGAACGAGTGTGTCGAAGTGCTTGGCAATGTAAAGGCTAATGCCTGAAGTTTTACTTGTAAACCGATTCTAACAGTCCTCTTGTCTGCTATCAAGAGGGGGAAAACTGAGGGGGAAAACTCTTCTATGGTATACTCTGTCCATCATAAAAATTCCTGTCCTCTTCCCTTGTGCTTGCAATGGCACAACTAGTTTGAAACGTGCCATAAAGAGAATGCCTGCAGAATAACCACTGGTACGGTCTTGTTAATAACACTGCTACTCTTATTATTGGGCCAAATCTTCAGCTGGTATAAATCCACTTAACTCCACTGAAAGCAACGGAGCTATGATGATTTACACCCTCTGAGATCTAATCATGCACTAGGTATGAATGGTGGTTTCTAAAGTGCATAAAGTTGAGTAGGGTACAGTTGTATAGCTTTGTTGCAATGATAAAGTAGCACAACGAGAGGCAGGGTTCTCAGTCAAAGCTTACTTTAAGCCATGATGCCAAATCTAGGGCTACTGTGGGCATCCCAACTTGTTTTACTTACAGCCCCACACACCAACTCTACCTTCTTAATTTGTTCTCCCCTTTGCTCCCCAGTTGGTGGAGCAAAAGAGGGACCCAAAAAAGCCGGAGGTGAGAAAATGGAGCACTAAAACAGTGTACAGCGTGGTCTCAGTGTGACGCAACCAGAAAGACCACAAGCTCCCACTACCCGAGAAACGCTTTTAGAACAACACGTTGGATAACACACAAAAACACCCCAGCAGAAGAGAAGTGTAGATGCCATTTAAAACAGGTCAGGTTTGGTCTCTCAGCTCACGGTAACTCGCTGGATATCTGGTCACAAATTCGTGCTTTTCACAAATCACCCATTTGCAATGTCCTGCAGGGTAAGTTAATATAGCCTCTTTCACTCACCTCCCCAGATGCCTCTTGAGACAGAAAGGAGGCAGCTTACACACCTCAGTTTTAGGCCTTCTGGAAAATCCCAGATAGATCAATGTATTTTGTATTAAAATCAATACCCTCCTTTCAGGTTCCCATCTGCCCCTCTAAGAAAGGCACAGAGAAACGGACGCTGTACCTCAGGGCTATTGGTTCCTCGCATCACTTCTCCGTGTTATTTCATGGTCCATTGCTCCCTCTCCTCTCTCTCACCTTTTGTAGAATCGCTGTGGTATGCATGCATATCCACTGGAGGAGAACATGAGTAGTTGTGATCCAGAGGCATCAAAAGTGTGAGGTTACCACTGGAAACCGCAGAAGGTCCCCTAAATTACCCAGCAAATTAACTAGTATGTGGAAGCAGCCAAAGCACATAGCACGTGATATAGAGCAAAACGTTGGCTGTCAAGAGGAATCAGCGGATTGACTAAAGTTACAACCCAGGTTTGCAGTGGTGAGATCTGCACACAGCTTTTAAGTATTATTATTACTACTGCTATTGTTTAAATGGCAGGGGGAACTGAATCATCCGATCTGCTGATACTCCAGGCAGCGACTGTAGCACGCAGCTTTGGAATTTATCCACCTTGTAAGACAAGTCTTCTAGTTAAAGGTGACAGTTTTATAATGAAATCGGTCTACTCACAAATCTCTGAGTCACACTATAGCACGGGGCAGTTCCATTTACAGTCTTAGCATCTAGGTACTTACCTCTGCCGTCGTCACGTCTGAGCACTCACAGACAGTAATGTATTAAACCACTCCTCTGTGACCCCCATTTTGCAAAGGGGGAATGTCACAGACAGGTCACCTGCGCTTGTATTTCCCCTTCACAGTTCAACAAAGATGCATACTCTTGGCTTCCGCCAGCCATTATATTTCATGTACCCCTCCCATTCTGCTCAGGTTTTTCCCAAGCAGAGCAGTTCCCTGCGTTCTCTGTGTATTTCCCAGCAAAGACAGTCTGCTCCAAGCTTTTTAAGCACGAGATCCCTTTTTGAATGTAAGTGCAATCCAAGATCTACCTCACACCCAAATATCCTGGTCCCGCCTCCTCTGTGCCCCTTCTCTGAAGCCCCGCCCCTGCTCACTCCATCCTCCCTCCCTCCCCCATCCTTCCTCACTTTCACCAGGCTGGGGCAGAGGGTTGGGGTGCAGGCTCTGGTCTTGGATTAAGGGATCTGGAGTACAAGAGGGGCTCTGAGCTGAGCTCGGGGCAGGCAGTTGGGGTGCCGGACGGGGTTCTAAGTGCAGGCTCTGGGAGGGGGTTTGGATGCAAGGGTGCTTGAGGCTGGGGGAGGGGCTTGGGGTGCAGGAGGGGGTTCATGACTGGGGTAGGGTTTAAGGACATGGGCTCTGACTGGACACTGCTTACCTCAGGTAGCTCCTGGGTGGTGGTTCAGTGGGGCTAAGGCAGGCTCACTCCTGCCCTGGCACTGCGCCACTCTGAAAAGCAGCCAGTAAACTCCCTTCCATGTCCTGTAGTGCCCACCGCCCTGCTCTGTGGAGATAGGATACAGTGTTGGAGAGGGGGCACTTAGACATCAGTGCCCCTCTTCTCCCTCCCCTGCCCTGCACAGCAAGCAGGGGGTTCCCGGGGGTGGGGAGGAGGCAGCTCCAAGGCAAAGGGCAGGTGATGTGCAGCAGCAGGGTAGAGGGGAAGCTGAAGAGCCGCACTCGATAATAACCTCTTGGCCAAACCAGTCAGGATCACCTGTCACAGGCTCCAAGATCTAAGTCTAAGTGGCCTAAGCAGACTTGCTCACTTCTCTTCAGAGAGTGACGGCGACAGACATACATTTCCCCACAGCCCTTCCTAAGCAAGAAGACTTCATTCTTGAGGTAAAAAAAACTACAGAAAAAAAAACCTATGGAAAACAATAACAGAAACTATGCAAATTCTCATACCCTTATCAGAGTTTGATTGAGGGACCTGGCAGAAGACTTTTAACACCCCATCCTCTAGTGGTTTCTTTGTGGTTACAGACTCATCACAGCTTCAAATCAGAGCAAACATATTCATGACAAGTTCAGTCCATCCTTTTATATAGATTTAATCTAGAACACACAACAGGTCACGCTTCCCAGGGTGTATGTTCAAAACTCAGCTACAGAGGGAAAGAACTTGCATTCCTCTCACCTCAAGGTACTTCCTAGGAAATTCATTTCAGAGATACTGTGCCCACTGATCTACCTAATGCCTTCCAGAGATCACATTTATCTCGTCTTCCTGCTAAAGAAGTTCTATACAAACTCACAATCCCCCTAAACATTTGTATTTGTACTACAATCAACTCCAAAGATGCTCAACTCAATTCAAAAAGTTCATTCATATTATCAATCTGTCAGAAGGAATCCAGGCCCAGTGATAGAAATGTAGCCGTGTTAGTCTGGTGCAGCTGAAACAAAATACAGGACTACGTAGCACTTTAAAGACTAACAAGATGGTTTATTAGATGATGAGCTTTCATGGGCCAGACCCACTTCCTCAGATCAAATAGTGGAAGAAAATTGGCATGACCATATATACCAAAGGGATACAAAGGCCCAGTGAGATTAAGTTACTTGCCACTGGTCCCAGAAGAAATGTGGCAGAGATGGGAACTGCACTGAGACCACCTGTGTGGCAGTCCAGATCATGAGCAGAAGGACTTGCTCTAGCTTTAAAGGTCTATTACCAACAGCAGAACTTGCCTTAACACCTGAAAACTACTTGCTTCAGCTACCCCAGACTAACACGGCTACATTTCTATCACCTGAAAACATGCAGCCTTCAGTGGAGACACACGATTTGGACATCCATTGACTAAAAGAGGCTAACAAGAAAAACCCCAATACTTCCTATCTGTGAAAGCACAGCAGCTGATGGGTGTTCTCAATGTGACAGCTGATCAGCAGATTTTTAGGGCCATTTCCTGTAACAGCAGGGGCACCTTGTTGAAACAGTTCTACTAATGAGCAAACCAAACTCCATTTCCCACCCTCAGTGGACAAAGCTTCGCCCGCTATGCTTGTTTTGACATCTCTTCTTTTCATCAATGGGTTTGGAAAGTGGTGAGAAAAATCATTCTTGGAAGTTCCTTTTGTTTTCTATTGTGTCACAGAACACAGTTGATGCAAGTTTCCTTTCAGTGACCATAAATGTTGCATTTAGGGCAGATGGTTTGGGGCACTCAACGTACATTTGAAATCAACCAAGATGATCTCTTGACAATTTGGGCATGTCTGGGGCTCTTCTTTATATTTAGGCTTGGAAGGATTAGTTTTTTTATTGGTAAATGCTGATTTCATAGTTACACATGCATACCAACAAAAATATTTCCATTGATAATAATGGAAAGTTTCAGATAGGCAAAGAACAACAACAAAAAAGTGCTTGAAAACTTTAAAATTACAGTTTGATTGAAGGATATTTATTTTGTTTATTTTGGCGTGTGATGTTGACAAGTTTGTGTGTTAACAGCTATAAAGCTTTAACTTTTCACTGTTGAATCTGTCTTTAAATAATTATTGCTGATCCCCTCATTGTCTGAGGTCCCACAATTTCCCACACTGGTGAAAATGTAAATAAAAAATACAAAAAAAAAGATGCTGAAACTCCATAATTTTGCACAATGGTGAACATTTAAATAGGTAAAAAATGGGGAGGGGGGCAGGAAGGACACTTAATCATTGCTATCAAAATCAGAAAAAAAATTTTTTGCCAAGCCTTTTTATATTTTTACCTGTGGGTGGCGCACACTGCATTGTCGTCTGGTTTATTATTATAATCTTGCTTAAGAAGAACGAGGAGCAATTTAAAGGAGTACTGCAAAGGGAGCCAGAGGAGAGAGGAGCTTAAAAAGCAGCATAGCACATGGAGTGAGCAGATGGAATTATATGCCCGTGATAGGGCATGCGTCTGCTCTGCTATCACACGCCATCATACAAGAGCTTTTCTGAAAAGGAAAACAGAGGAGTAGATGGTTCCGTGGATTGATGAAAGGCTACGGAACTTCTCAACTCTGGGTCATCATTTCTAAAAGCTGGCTCTTGTTTGGTAGTGACTCAAAGTCACAACCAAGTTGTGACTTGCCCCAAAATGAATTTGGCGCATCTCCGTTAAATTCACAATAGATTAGACTATACAGCCCATACCATAAAGATCACATCCTCCGCTGGCACTAATTGCTCCTCTGTTGCAGTCTCAGCAAAGGTGCAAACGACTGACAAGATCACGGAGATGGGGCTCTCCTCTCGGACTTAGTAAAGATGTTTGAGGCAGGCAGGACGGCATGCAGATAATTTACTCTGCTGCCACCCCTACTCTGCGGATGGACAGAGGCTTGCAATCTGGTGCTTTTCATCAGCACTTGATAGAAGGGAAACCCCCACAATGGGGAGCAAATAGCAGGAACCAAAACTTATCATGTCCACAGATGAGCTGTTAACGTTGGTGTGCCTGCTCCCCTTGTTCGCCCCACCCCAGAGCTAGCAGCATCTGTCATCTGGCGATTAGCAGATTGCTAATCACACATTGCAACTGCTATGAACAGCCGTCTGCCCGTGGTTACACAATTGGCACAGCTATTGCTTTGGGAAAGTCGACTTTCTCCTTCTGGGCTCGCACACTCGTTTGTTTCATGTCCCTTCACAGACTTTCCCTCTCCAGGACAGGCTGAATGTATGTGTGTGTGTGTGTGTGTGTGTGTGTGTGTGGGATGGGGGAGGGGGGGCTGTGGGATTTGCAGCAAGCTGCCGAGAATCACAGGCAAAGCCAATAGAAGCAACACCCAGAGAGAGGCGACTCTAGTACGTCAACCACACAGTACTGGGAACCAGAGACTGAATCCCAACTGGCTACGTTACTGGAGCTAGCCATGTCTTTGCTCTCTGCCTCGGTTTCCCCATCAGTAAATTGGGGATAATACTTGTCTTACATGATTTTTAATTCATTCATATCCATAAAGGGTTATTAGACTCTCAGATGGAAGTTGCGTGCTTGGAAAAGGCAAAGTCCTGTCAAAGAGCATCCACCAATGCAGAAAATTCCATCCAAATCTCGTCTGATAGAACTGAGGACATTGCAGTTAGAGGAGAATTCTAAGTTCTCTTGACTCACTGCATTTTCCATTCTTGTGACTCACCTGCATGGCAGATATCATCATCCTCGTGTTATATGTTGCCAGACAGTGTCTGGATACTATGGCCATGGAGGTAACATGAGCCCCCTAAGACAGACAAACTGACTACCCACAATTCCCTCTTGAAGTGATTGGGAAGGGCAAGGGCTCATCATCTGTAATTATCAGGCTCTTGGGGGACTTGCTAAAGGCTACATCATTATCATTCCATGAAGGTGTTAGGTTCCAGCCTTGCATCTATGTGGCCAATAGTGTCCTACACAACTTGTGTTCACATGAACGGCCAAGCCAGAATGCATTGCACATTCCCAATCTAGGATCCTATGAGACTCAAACACTAGTAGGGCTACAACTGATGCCTTGTCTCCTCTTACCAGGAGATCGACTCTGCCGAGATTGATCTCTTGGGGATTGATTTAGCAGGTCTAGCAAGGACCCACTAAATCAACCACTGATCATGTTCTTGTCGACTCCACTACTCCACCAGGTCGTGAGGAGTAAGGGAAGTCGACATGAGAGTTTCTCCCATTGACCCCCAGCAGTGGAGATGCTGCGGATATTCAAACTAAGGTACATCGACTCCGACTACAGTATTCACATAACTGGAGTTGTGTACCTTAGTATGACTTTGTCCCCTAGTGTAGGTCAGGTCTGAGGCTAAGAGCTTGTCAATGCAAAACAATTAGACTTCAGCAAGCTGGGGTGTGAAACTATCCCTCTCTAGCTTGCTGTGGTCTAACCAGTGGTTCTCAACATTTCCAAACAACTGTACCCTTTTCAGGAGTCTGATTTGTCTCGTGTACCCCAAGTTTTGCCTCACCTAAAAACTACTTTCATTACAAAAGCAGATATACACATACAACAAAAGTGTCACAACGCACTATTACTGACAAATTGCTGCCTTTCTCATTTTTACCATACAGTTATAAAATAAATCTATTGGAATATACATGTTGTACTTAAATTTCAGTGTATAAGATATAGAGTAGTATGAGCCGGTCGTATGAAAGTTTAGTTTGTACTGACTTCGCTAGTGCTTTTTATGTAGCTTGTTTTAAAACAAGGCAGACATCTGGATGAGTTGATGTATCCCATGGAAGACCTCTGTGTGCCACTGGTATTGTCCCTGCTGATGTACGTTAGCATTTCATTAGACTACTTTGATACAGTCCCTCTTTGAAATGGAACTAGCTCGAAGCGTACTAGCCAATGGTTAACGCTCATCATCAGGGTGCACATGGACTGTTAGACCGAGGCAGGCTAATGAGAGATAGATTCATACCTGAGCTTGCTGCAGTCTAATTGTTCATACAGACAAGCCCTAAACTCCCAGACTTCCCAGACCACATGAAGGAGGCCACAGCACCATTGGTTTCTCCGCCAACGAGGAGACAGTTTGCCACCAAAGTCAGCACTTCTCAGTGTGCCCCCATGAAGTGTTTACACTCTCCCATGGTGTCACGTAGGTTAAATTGCCTCTGCTCGGATGCATCACAGCAGTCTATGACAAGATGCAACATGTCACAGATCTACAGGCCCTGACACGGAGAGCGAGGGTTTCCCTCTGTGCAGAGAGAAAAGGTTAATGAAGCAAAATTGCATGAGCTGCAGTATGTGGATGCCCAGGGGTTAAAATTCCCCTGACTACTCATAAGCCAGGAAATTACGTGATGACTAATTGAATTCCACTGTTCTTTATACTTATACCTTCCAGGGAAGATGTAAACAGAAGGCCCTGACCACTCAGAATCAGTAAAGATCCCAGGGTGCTTTCTGTAGGAGAAGGAGTTTTAACCTTTGTGTCCCAGTCAGATTTCATCTCGGGAATACACACTGTCAACCCAAATTACATTTTCAAGTGGATACTGATGCCTCACAAGAGGTGAAAGAGTTTAACTGGTTGGTTATCATTGGTTATCATTAATGGTTATTGGCTAGATGCTTATTGGTTATCACTAATGGTTAAACTCTGCATGGGACTGCTGGCCGTCCCACAGTTAAACGTGTAAACAGACGTTTTATCTGTCGCATGGTTAATATTTTAATTCATTTTTTATATCCCTATATCTCACCACCTGTTCCTGTGAACTGAGAGACAGTTACTGTGTTCCACCTCAGAGAGTCAGATTTCAGAGATGTGTAAAGAGCTCTCATATATTTCACCTACGGCAAAGGGGTACGGAGGTTTTTAGTTAGGGTTTGAAGTAACACAAAATCATTTAATGGCATAGGATTATTAATAATATTTCTCAACCATCATTATACTTTATTTTGGATGAACTGGGAGGATTATTTAAGTAACTCACTCACAACAAGGGCAGATACTCTCACTTCATTCACAAAACAGACTGTGACTCAAGTAGCAGACCAGACACTCACGAGACGACATCTTGGTCCCGCTGAAATCAATGAAAGTCAAGGTGGGACCAAGATTTCACTCCATAGTAATAAAGATTTGTTTTTGATCAGAGAGTCTGACTTTCTGTGTAACATAGGCCACACATGTCTATCCAGTGATTCCCACATCACGCTTAATATTCCAGGGTTCAGTGACAGCATCTATTTTAGAAAATCTTCCAACTGTAATTTATAATTAAAAATATCGGAGAATCAACCATCTCCTTTGGTGAAAGGATCTGACACCTAAGCTATGTCTAAACTGCATTGCTTTACTGGAGGTATCCCGGAAAAGCAATGCCGCGTCCAAGGAACGCACCCTCTTTTTCAAAATAATTTTCGAAAAAGCGGACATGCTCTTTTGCCATCTTTGTAAACCTCATTCTATGAGGCATAACAGATGTGTCAAAAAAGCACTTTTTTCCGAAATTTGGTGCTGTGTAGACGTGCCAAATTTCGGAAAAGGCTCTTGCGAAAGTAAATCAGATAAAGATACACCATTTGCATACTGCAAATTGTGTTTTTTTTCCGATTTAACTCTGCAGTCTAGGTGTAGCCCTACTATCAAAACATACCATTAATTTCATTGTCAAAATCTTTTTTTTAAAAATATCATGACACATAAAGCTGATGTTGGGCCCAAAAACAGGGCTAGAATTAACCTTTGTCTGGAGATGAGGACTGATCTGGATAGATTATTTATTTCAAGGGCATTCTGATACGACTGAAGCTGATCTGCTGTGCCAGTGCCTGGCGGTGATGTTGCTTTCCTGATGCTGAAACGGACACATGGAGCACATGCCGTTTGCTGACGCCTGGGTTTTTGCGGTTGGACAGCAGCAGCTCTGCGTAGACGTAACCAAGCGACAACAAGCTCAAGAAAAGTTAGCCTGGGAAGCGTCTATTCTCAGTGTTTGCCCACATCAAAGCTAACCAATCCCCAATTCTCATCTCTGCACCAGAGTTTCCAGTTGTGTTAAAGATACACACACACTTAATTAAGATAGGAACAAGCTGGGTAAATATTAAACTGATTTACTGAGATTTTCCTTTGCCAGATGGAATAGGTTAATTAAGTTATTATAGACTGTTCTTGAATTGGGTAAGCAGCTAAACATCCTCTCCACTAAGGTAATGCAATTATTTCAGTACTGTTTTCAGCAATCAGGAAGGAGAGGGGAATAAAGCACATACAACCAAAATAGCCAGGGAATCATTATTGTAATCCCCAAATGTATATGGTCTTTACTTTGGCAGAAATGCTTATCACTAAATCTATACCCAAAAGCAAAGTACGAACAAGATCGGGGTTGTTCAAGATCTGAGGTTTTCATTCTGATGTTTATAAAAAAGCCAGGAATAAGCTTCAAAAATCCAGATCAGAATTCTTTTTTCAGTCCTTGTGTAACCCACTGGTGAGTGTATTACAGAGGCTCCTGTCTGTGCCAATTGTCAAATGATAGGCATTTCTAACACATACCCCCCCACCTCCACCCCGATCTTAGTCTTGTTAGTTATAGTAACTCATGCAAGTTAGTTCTGGAGGTCCTGGTCCCATCCGGGGTGAGCCAAGTGTCACATTAGGATTAGGGGTTTTGGTTTGGACAGCAGCCATCGCAAGTTAGTCTTATGCCCATGTTTAGCTTCTCGAGTTAACCACTATGACATTCTAATTCAAACTAACGTGGTTATGACTGAAATAAACAAAGTGCCGAGTCTTACCTTAACACAATATCTTGGGTCTCTTAAATACTTGTCTCTTCTCTTAAAGGTTTCAGGTGACTATTATTCAGTGAATGGAAACTGGGCCTGGGGGAGGGAATACAAAAATCAGAATGAACGACTGGTTGGTAAAGAACCGGTACATTACATTTTAGATGTTTTCTAAAAGTTCTTTAGAATTTTTAAGCCATTGTTTTATAAATGACTAGATTTCCTATGCCCAAACTGAGACGCCTTAAAAGGGCCCAATTTTCAGAGGGTCTTGGGCACCCTCCTCTCAGAAATCAGGACTCCTTTGAAGGATGTTTTTGATCATGTACCACAGAGCTGAGGCACTTGGGGGGAAAATATCACTAGCTACAATGGACTATCTTGGCTTTAGCCTCTTCATCATTTTAATGAGAGCCACAGGCTCTCACATTCAAACATTGCTGAAAAACATCACTGCAGATTTTCAGAAGTCCAGATTCAGTTCTCCGTTTCACCAGTGCAAGTCCAGACGTTTTGCCATGGGTTAAAATCGTGCTTTTTAAACATGTCAGTGTAAGAATCTTCTCTGGAACATTTCCCCTCTGAGCATCTGAGATTTTCTGGCAGCTTTAACGTAACTGTGCAATTGGGCTGTTTCTCCAAAGATGACTACTTTTTAATTAGCCTCTCACACAGCAAGCATTTGACACAGTAAGGAGTGGATGGCGTTGCTCCAGACTTGTATCCCCCATGTAACTGAGAGCAGAATTTGACCCCTAAAACAGAAACCATGTAACATGGACAAATCTTGCAAAGATTGAACATTAGTGGCTTTGCTTCACAGAGCATAGAACATACACGTCAAAAAGAAACCTAAAAAAGATGTGCTAAGCCGCTTCCCCTCTACGACTGGCTCTCCATCAGGGGATCACGGATGCAGAAGATTGACAAAACCTAATAGAGCAATAGTTTTCAAACTAGGGGTCATGACCCAGCACTGGGTGGTAGAATGTCGGGCGCTGGATCTCGTTGCTGCAGGGGGATCAGGTGAGCAGTGGGGGCACCTTAGCTCCCCCCCCCCCCAACCCCTGCTGCATCTCTGACTGGGAGCCTCTCGATATAAGCCCCTCCTGCTCAGCCCTGACCCACCCAAAGCCGGAGCCCCCTCCTACACCCAAAGCTCCCATATTCAGCCCCACCCCGGAGTCCACACTCCAGTCAAATGATGTTGGGTCATGCCCGCAACCATTTTCTTTAACTGGGTCATGAAATAAAAAGTTTGAAACCCGCTCTATTAGATAATGTGTTCCGTCTCCCTTAGGGTTGTTTCCTACAGTACAACGACTGGCGCTTTGTCCAGCTGAGGTGTAAAAGTCCCAAGCAATGGAGATCCCAGGGCAGGCAGTCCCCAACTTACGAACAGGTTGTGTTCCAAACGTTTGTTGGTAAGTTGGTTGCTGGAAACCTCAGCGCATTTTCCCATGGAAACCGATGTTATCACTGGTAGTCGGGTTCCCAGGCTAGCCCACAAAAGCCTATTTAACCCATAATGTAGCTGAGATACTGTATATTTGCTATGAAAAACAGCAGAAACAGGGTGTGTGTTTTTTAATTTAACCTGGAGTGCTGGTGCTCGAGGAAAGGCAGGTTTAATTACAGGAAGATGAAGAGGTAGGTGGAGAGTCTGAAGGGGAGTTCCGGACATCCCCCGGCTGCGGGCTCTGCGCCAACTTCTGTGGCCAGCCCCATCCTCTGGCCACCCCTCCAACCCCCGACTTCCCCTGGGCTGCACACAACCCCAGCTATCTGGAAGCAGCAAGGTGCAAGCACAGGCTGGAGGACTCGAGGAAGCCAGGGGAGGCCATGCGAGCAGTGGTTGAACAGAAGCAGCAGTTTGCCCTTCAAAGTGCCACTTCTTTCCAGCTGCTGGCTGTGCATCTGCTCTCCCCTACTCCAAAGTCTTCCAGCCAGTACTTGCACTGCTCACTACCACCTGTGCCCTCTGCCTGCTCCTGAGGGAGGCTGCAGGTGAGCTTTAGTGAGCACCCGCGGGTGTTCCTAAGTCGGATGTTTGTAACCCGGAGAGTGCCTGTACTTCCCATAGAAAAGTGGCACTTCACAGCTGAATCCTTCTCACTGTCCACCTTTCCCACTCAATCTAAATGGCCTCTTTCCCATTCCTTCTCGCTTTACCCCTGTTACCAAACTAAACAATCCCACCTCCCGCGATACGCTTCAAGCAATGATATAAATTCATGCTCCCCTCACCCCAATCAATGGAATCACGGCTTAGGCAAAACGCACATACTTCGCTGCTTTCCTCTCTCCTCCAAAAGCAATCCAATCCACTCCGTCCCCTGAGAACATCTCAACTCTTTTCCAGTTGGTTCGTGTTCTACAGGTGCAGGAAAGCACAAGACTGAGGGCAATATTCCGCATGCGGTCACATCAGAGTCATAGGAAAAAAACCGCCTTCTGCTGCTCAAGACTTTGCACACACGCAGCTCAGCACCACATGTGCCCTCCGCTCTCATAATGACATACACCACTTTATTTTTTTTTAACTCCAGGAAGAAATAAGCCCAAAGGACCCTCGTTAAGCATAGCCCTTATGGCCAAAATGGGAACACAGAGGGAGAGCCACTAACGCTATGGCTCAGTGGGGTAATTCCAGATACACACCACATGATCACCTTTTTGATAACAGCACAGTCCCACTGTTTGTACCGCTAGGAAACAAGTTGTCCCTAAATGCATTCCAGCCAAACAATGGCATTCAGTTACAAACCCTCAGACCTCAGAGGAGCCTTTGTTATAGACATATTTTAAAATTAAAAGCATGATCTTAACCAGTAAGAAGTACAGCCACACTGGGTCAGACCAAAGGTCCCTTCAGCCCAGAATCCTGTCTTCCAACAATGGCGAACGCCAAGTGCTCCAGAGGGAGGGAATCGTTACGTGATCCCTCCCGTCATCCATTCCCTGCCTCTGACAAACAGCCATTGATGGACCTATCCGCCATGAACTTATCTAGTTCTTTTTTGAACCCTGTTATAGTCTTGGCCTTCACAACATCCTCCAGCAAGATGCCCCAGAGTCAAACCCTCAATTACCTACCATGGTTTTCAAACAGAATCTGCTTTTAGTGTTACCCTCCTTCATGGATTATATGGTTCTGACCAGACATATACACCTTGCTGGGGCTTGAATGTGAGCTATTAGAAGCCTCATGCTTTCCCAGCTCAAGTATGTTACAAAACGGTAACATCCACAGAGTGACTGCTCGCAAAGAATCACCAGCTGCAGAGCTCATTGGGTAACATATGCTGGAGGGGCAAAAAGAATGCAGGAGCTTTGATATCCACCATTTGTGGTTGTGAAGTTACAGTCTTTTGGGAGAACACCCAAGATAAATGCTTTTCTGTACTGGAGGAATCTTGTGTCCAGCAACACAAATGAAAACAGAGGCCAAATCTGCTCTTATCGATACATTGGTACAAATCCATGTGAGCACCACTGAGGTCGATGGAGTCATTTCCATTCCATAGGTAAGAGTTTGGAGTGATTCTACTGAAGTCATAAGAACGACCATACTGGGTAAGACCAAAGGTCCATCCAGCCCAGTATCCTGTCTGCCAACAATGGCCAATGCCAGGTGCCCCAGAGGGAGGGAACGCAATGGGTAATCCTCACGTGATCCCTCTCCTATCGCCTATTTCCAGACAAACAGAGGCTAGGGACACCATCCCTCCCAATCCTGGCTTATAGCTATTAATGGACCTAACCTCCATGAATCTATCTAGCTCTTTTTTGAACCCTGTTAAAGTCCTAGTCTTCACCACATCCTCTGGCAAGGAGTTCCACAGGTTGTGTGCTGAGTGAAGAGAAATGTCCTTTTGTTTGTTTTAAACCTGCAGCCTATTAATTTCATTTGGTGACCCCTAGTTCTTCTATTGTGGACATAAGTAAATAACTTATTCCTTAACCCTGTCAACTGAATTGTTCCTGTTATGCTGGTGTATCCAAGCAAAATTAAGCACACCGTCTGTGGTTGGAGCCATCAGCTGCATTTTGTCTGGGAAACAGGCAGCTAACGATGAAAGAGAAGTTGGTGAAAACCCAATGCCTGCTTCTTATACAGCACCAAAGCCCTTAACATCTTTTCCTGGGAAGAGAAAGCAGCTCCTCTGCACTCAAGGAAAGCACATACTCCCGTTCCTGGCTCCCGGCCCCCACCAGAGAATTGTGCATGCCTTTCTGTGCAGCAAGGCATGCATTTTAGCAACATGCAGCATTAGGGGCCAGAAACGACAGCTAGGCTGAACAAAACTAATAGTACCAGGCGACGCACTGGCGAGGGGAAAGGAGGTCGTGTGTTGGAAATAAGCTCACGTCTCTGACCGTGCTGTGCTGAGAAGTTAGGAAAGCCAAATACGGAGCACAGGAACAGGAGTCTAGGTTGTAGCAAGAAGGGAAAAAAGTCCACGTGGGGAACATGCAGATGGCTCAGCTCAATCTGAGAACTGCACTGAAGGCCTGCTCCTGCGGGAAGCTGCCTGGAAGAGGACACAACAGAACAGGGACCTCTGCATTTGGGTGTAAGGGCTTATGCCGGGTACATGGCTTCAGGTGTGCTCCATTTACCAGCTTCCACTTCCCTGTTTTCAAAGATGGAGAGGAAGCCCAGGGAACAGGGTTCAGTAACACTTCGAGGGGCAGGGGAGATGTTATTTGAGAAATGAGCACATACTCTTCCATTCCCAAATGTAGAGCTGTGAAGTGTGACCGCTTAGGGAAATATCCCGAGGGCCAAACCCTCCCATCCTGCCTCCACCCCCAAGTGCCAGTAGTGAGGATCAGCAGGGGTGGCTTCTTCAGCTGTGGGGAGAGTGAAAGGAAACCCCCGCATGCCACTGACTGGCTGCAGATCCATTTCAGGGCTGTTAAAGCTGTAACAGAGTCTATGAGGGGAAGGAATGTGGGCTGGCAGTGAAATCTACTTTATAAACATGTAAAATACACACCAACTGGAGGCAGAGGTCCCTTCCTGCCATGTCTTCCTCAGCCCCACTGCAAATTGGCACTCACAAGCAACTCCTCGCAGGGCTGACCTGTGC